TTTTTCTTCTTCCAAGCAACTAGCTTCCTGCTGCTTTTTCTGTGGAGGCTAAACAGCAGAAAAGCAGCTGTGTGTGCATCAGAGATGCACATGAAGTGCGTACACAAAGGGAGTCATGGGTTAGACAAGGAACAAGGCGTAGACTCACTCGTGGAGCCAGAGAGCATGCAACGTTTCATACATTATTCACAAGTTTGGTGCAAAAGAAAGACTGATGAATTCTGACAAAAACAATGTTGTGCCTGGTGCACCGGAGAGATCTCTGAAATGTCTTCAAAATAGCAGGCAACATGGTGAACATGAGAAATGAAAAGGAATTTAAAAATGATTATTATTATAAATTACTCTTCTCCTTGTACCCGTTTATTTTGCTCTCTGCTGACTGTACAAGTCCAATAATCATCAGGGGAGAGAAAGATGGCACTTAGAAAGCAATTTATTAAACATTTGTTGTGAATTCACTCCATGAAGTGGAAAAAAGGAATTTGCCCGAGTTTATGTTGAGTATAACTGGTTGATGCTACCTCAGTGTAGTCTAAGGTTATTGCCTTGGATATACAAGAAAATGTACTAAATCTTGAAAGCATTTAAATGCAAATGTGTTTTTATTTGGTTAAAGGCTGTCAAAGCATTTTGTGTAAAATACTACAGTAGGCCGACACAAGGGACATAAAGACATGAGGCTAAATGCATCTCCACTCTCGTTTGAAAAAAATTTTGGCTATGTTAGCCAACGTCACAAAGACTTTAACATGTCTGCACAAGATAACATGAAAACATAAAAACATCTGACTTAATGACGAGAATAATTTTACCATGGGATTTAGAGTACTTAACTAAATATCATATCATTTTTGTCATTTAAACCTGCGTCAGCGAGCTGGAGTTTAGTCAGCAGTGGGTACAGAATACTGCAAATGAATGCTCAATAAGCTGGTCTGTCTGGATGAATCTCATTGTGTTTACATGTCTATGTGGTACTACGGGAGGGTCTCTTATCTACATCAAAGCCCCAGTACAGCAAGATGAAAACCCCAGTTGCCATGACAATTACACAGATGCACAGACATCTCCACCAACTGCATTATTAAATAGACCTGAAACAATACAGCCCCTCCCCTTCCCCTGAAAACAAACACACACACACACACTATTTCAACTAATCGACGAGCTGGTGTGGACCGTGTCATCTTACCTGATACTGTGCTGGTCATTGTTGCTGACATTGGAGGAAGAGGAGAGAGCCAGATGATGATGCTGCTGGATGGAGGAGGAGAGAGATTGTGAAGGAGTCGTAGAGAGGGGACGAAGAAAAAAAGAGGAGGAGGGAGAGAGAGAGAGAGAGAGCGAGCGAGCGAGGGGATGGGCTGTGCATGTGTCTGTGACCTGAATGGTGCAATGCACAAGTCTACAGTATGTGAACAATGGGCAGCCAGTGGGACTTGGTGTGTGTGTGTGGAGGCTGTACTGGCAAGGGAAGAGGTGGGCAAACATTGTATGTGTAGGGGATGTAACCAAATATCTCATGTCTGACATGATTCAGATGAACAGATAAGATATGAATTTAAAAAACCTATCTTAATTAAAATGATTTGAATGAGTCTATAAGACAGCACCTCTAATAAGGCATATACAAATAAATACTCCTTTAGTTATATGAATCAGTATAACATGGGTTTTTCATAGTAGGGCAGGTAGTCATGCGAGCAGTCTAGCTGTGCTGGCACAGTGAGAGTGTACTGCGTAGCACAGTAAGGTAAAGTTGTTACTTTGATGACATGTTGGAGGTGTGTCTGTCACAAACCATAGTAAGAGCCTGTCACCTGCAGTTCTTTTCAGCTCACTGTGGCTGGAACTATTTGTACTACTCCTGATTCTAAAACCTGATCTGCTGACCAAACAGCGCATCCATATCTGAGTCATTATATTGGTGACAAACACTGTGCATTTCCTAGAACTTCTCACAATAAAAGCACCCAGCCAGTTCGCCAGTGGAAAGCTTTTAACATGAAGCTGCAATGTCACACGGCTCTGATACAACTGAGTGTGTCAGAACACAGTAAAATAAGGCAGATATCTGAAATTACAATCCAAACCACAGATTCAGATAAAAGCCCTTAAAGTACTTTCAATTCAATTTTATTTATAGAGCGCCAGATCACAACAACAGTTATCTCACAGCGCTTTTCATAAAAGAGCAGGTCTAGACCATACTCTGATGTTATTTACAGAAGCCCAACAGTTCCCACCAAGAGCAAGCACTAGGCGACAGAGGCAAGGAAAAACTTCCTTTTAAGAGGCAGAAACCTCGAGCAGAACCATGGCTCAGGGTGGGCGGCCATCTGCCTCAACCGGTTGGGGGTGAGAGAGAGAGGAGGGAGGCAGCCTACACAATATACACACAGAGGTACAGACAGTAAAGGTGATGTTGCTATAGACTAAATGAAAAATGGTACAGATATTTATAGTAGTGTTAATGATTATAACAATAGGACTAGTAACAATAGTTGTTGTAGCAGAGGGTGTCGAGCAGGAACACGGGAGCAGCAGGTGACTCGCAACCACAGATCCAGAGCCAGAAAACCTGCAGGAAGTGATAGGAGGAGAGGGACGAGAAAGCACAAGACTACCGGAAAGGGGAGAAGTTGAGTTAGTAACATGCAATAATGGGATGAGGTTGCATACAGAGGGAGAGAAAGTAGAGGAGCTCAGTGCACCATAGGAAATCCCCGGCAGTCTGACCTATAGCAGCATAGGTAAGGGATGGTTCAGGACTCAGCTGAGCCAGCCCTAACTATAAGCGTTATTAAAGAGGAAAGTCTTAAGCCTCCTCTTAAATGTGGAGATGGTGTCTGCCTCCTGAACCCAAACTGGAACCTGGTTCCACAGGAGAGGAGCTTGATAGCTGAACGCTCTGGCTCCTAGTCTACTTTTGGAGACTCTAGGAACCACAAGTAACCCTGCATTCAGGGAGTGCAGTGCTCTGGTGGGGTAGTAAGGTACTATGAGCTCTTTAAGATAAGATGGTGCCTGACCATTAAGAGCTTTGTAGGTAAGAAGAATGATTTTAAATTCTATTCTGGATTTTACTGGAAGCCAGTGCAGAGAAGCTAAAACAGGAGAAATGTGATTTATTGTCCTGGTTCTTGTCAGTGGGGAGACAAGAGAACAAACTGCAACACTGGGTGACAATAAACAATGACCCGACAAAGACAAGACAGAAACACCAGGTGTGTGTGTGTGTGTGTATATATATATATATATATACACACACACACATACACAGGGACTAACGAGCAGGGCGGGAGCAACACAGGTGGAAGACATGAGGCTAATGAGGCACAGGCAGGGAGAGAGACAGACATGCAGAGGGATCACTGGGGTAACAGACATGACAAGGGTTAACATACTAGACAAAAGACAAGACAGACCCCCCAAAACCCAACAGACCAAAATAACGCTAACTAAACACAAAAGTGCAAAACATCGCATGGCAGACAGGCAGAGTGTGACAGTACCCCCCAACAGGCCGGGCAGAACAGGGGGGCCACAGAGGGGTTCAAGGGGTTGGCAGGACGGCCAACAGTGAGGCAGCAAACCCACTGGGGGCCGAGCAGGAGGCCGACGGCAAGACCTCTCCGGAGGTCGGCACCCAAAGCTTTGGTGCTCTGGAGCCGCAGCTGGGCTGAGGACCACCGACTGAGCAGCTGGGCTGGAACTGGCTGGGCGTCCGATGAGGAACCGGGAGTCCACCGACGGAGCTGGTGCCGATCGGACCACTAGGAACAGGAATCGGCTGGACCACCAACGGAGCTGGTGCAGGTGCCAGTTTCTTGGCCGCTCGTCATCGGGTCCTACGTCGCCCTCCAGCCGGCCTTACTGGAGGTGGATCCGACGCAGAGTTCGACGAGGTGCTAGCCTCCAGGCTAGTAGACCCGGAACCGGAGCTGTGTAGGTCTGCTAGCAGCCCGGTCTCCCTCCGACCAGTGGTTGGTTGGCTGGGGGCTCTCCGTCTGTTCACTCTCTTGCTCCAAAGTTAAGTCCAACAGAAAGGCAGCCAGAGAGCTGGAAGTCCATGAATCCCCAACCAACCTGGAAGTCTGAGCCGACTTGGAGGGGGATGGAGCAGACAGATGACTAGCCGCTGGAGCGCTAGCAGGCCGGGAACCAGGCTGGGGGCTAGCCGCTGGAGCGCTAGCAGGCCGGGAACCAGGCTGGGGGCTAGCCGCTGGAGCGCTAGCAGGCCGGGAACCAGGCTGGGGGCTAGCCGCTGGAGCGCTAGCAGGCCGGGAACCAGGCTGGGGGCTAGCCGCTGGAGCGCTAGCAGGCCGGGAACCAGGCTGGGGGCTAGCCGCTGGAGCGCTAGCAGGCCGGGAACCAGGCTGGGGGCTAGCCGCTGGAGCGCTAGCAGGCCGGGAACCAGGCTGGGGGCTAGCCGCTGGAGCGCTAGCAGGCCGGGAACCAGGCTGGGGGCTAGCCGCTGGAGCGCTAGCAGGCCGGGAACCAGGCTGGGGGCTAGCAAGCCGGGGCTCAGGCTGGCGGCTAGCAGCGCTAGCCAAGCTGGTTTCAGGCAGGAGGCTAGCCGCAGGAGTACTAACAGGCCGGGGTTCGAAGCTAGCAGGCTTAGCAATCTCACACTGGGGGGTGGCAGAGCAGAGTTTTGACACAGTCTCTAAATCAAAAGTCTTTCTCCACCGGGAGGAGGCCACGAGCAGAGCCATCCTGGGGTCGGTCCCCCACATGACTGAGAGCAGTTTGAAAAACTGTGGCTCCTCTGCTGTTAGCTCCTCCTTGGGCACCCCTAATTCCTCCAAAGTGCTGGGCAACTTAACTATGTCCGCTGGGTCCATGTTTGGTCGGGTCATTCTGTCACGGTTTTGTGGTGAAGGCAGGGTTGAGCAGGTTGGAGGACCCAAACGCAGGACACGAAGGCTAGCAGGTGCAGTTCAGTGAAAGGTTTTAATATAACAAAAGGCGAGCACACTTACAAACAGAGTGGCTGATTGACTGAGTCCAAAAACAAAGGCTGTCCAACAGAAATCCAAAAGGGTGAAAACCAGAATCCAAAACTGAGCAGGGTAACAGGGAGACACGGTGAGTAAGGCTGGAGACACGAGAACAAACTGCAACACTGGGTGACAATAAATAATGACCCGACAAAGACAAGACAGAAACACCAGGTATATATACACAGGGACTAACGAGCAGGGCGGGAGCAACACAAGTGAAAGACATGAGGCTAACGAGGCACAGGTAGGGAGAGAGAGAGAGAGAGCAGGGGAAAACAGAGACAGACATGCAGAGGGATCAGTGGGGTAACAGACATGACAAGGGTTAACGAATACTAGACGAAAGACAAGACAGACCCCCAAAACCCAACAGACCAAAATAACGCTAACTAAACACAAAAGTGCAAAACACCGCATGGCAGACAGGCAGAGTGTGACAGTCAGAACACATGCTGCAGCATTTTGAATCAGCTGAAGAGTCTTAATGGACTTTTTCAAGCAGCCTGGTAATAAAGAATTGCAGTAATCCAGCCTAGAAGTAACAAATGCACGGACTAGTTTTTCTGCATCATTTTTAGACAGGATATTCCTGATTTTCGCAATATTACGTAGGTGAAGAAAGGCGGTCCTTGAAATTTGCTTAATGTGAGACTTAAACGACAGTGGTGCTGGAGGCCAGGGCGATGCCATCAAGGGAAACTATATCTTAAGATAATGCATCACGGAGGTGCTTGGGCCCCAGAACAATAACTTCAGTTTTATCTGAGTTTAACATTAGAAAATTACATGTCATCCATGTTTTAATATCCTGAAGGCACATTTGAAGTTTAGCTAACTGATGAGTTTCATGTGGCTTGATCGATAGATATAACTGAGTATCATCTGCATAACAATGAAAGTTTATGGAATATTTCCTGATAATATTGCCTAAAGGAAGCATATATAAAGTGAAGGGTTGGAGGATTGGTCCGAGGACAGATCCTTGAGGAACTCCATGACTAACTTTGGCATGCATGGAGGACTCATTGTTAACATGTACAAACTGAAATCGATCTGATAAATAGGACTTAAACCAGCTTAGAGCGGTTCCTTTTATGCCAATGAAATGTTCCAGTCTCTGCAATAGGATCTGATGGTCAATGGTATCAAATGCAGCACTAAGATCTAATAAAACCAGTACAGAGACAAGTCCTTTGTCTGATGCAATAAGGAGGTCGTTAGCAAATTTTCACCAGTGCTGTCTCTGTGCTATGATGAACTCTAAATCCTGACTGAAAATCCTCAAATAAACTATTGCTCTGTAGAAAGTCACACAGCTGTTTA